TCTGGAGTGTTGTGTCCAGTTCTGGGCCCCCCACTACAGAAAGGACGTGGGCTTTCACCACATCCTCTGGCGAGGAGTTCCACAGGTGAACAGCGCTTCTTTTGCCAGCAGCTCCAGAGATGTCATTATTCCCTTTTATTCGGCTCTGGGGAGGCCACGTCTGGAGTGTTGTGTCCAGTTCTGGGCCTCCCACTACAGAAAGGACGTGGGTCTTCACCACATCCTCTGGCGAGGAGTTCCACAGGTGAACAGCGCTTCTTTTGCCAGCAGCTCCAGAGATGTCATTATTCCCCTTTATTCGGCTCTGGTGAGGCCAGATCTGGAGTGTTGTGTCCAGTTCTGGGCCTCCCACTACAGAAAGGACGTGGGTCTTCACCACATCCTCTGGCGAGGAGTTCCACAGGTGAACAGCGCTTCTTTTGCCAGCAGCTCCAGAGATGTCATTATTCCCTTTTATTCGGCTCTGGGGAGGCCACGTCTGGAGTATCGTGTCCAGTTCTGGGCCCCCCACTACAGAGAGGACGTGGGCGCATTGGAGAGGGTCCAGCGGAGGGCGACCAAAATGATTCGGGGGCTGGCGCACAGGACCTACGAGGAGCGGCCGAGGGATTTGGGGTTTGTTTAGTCTGCAGAAGAGCAGAGCGAGGGGGGATTTGAGAGCAGCCTGCGACTCCCTGAAGGGGGGTAAGAGGGAGGCTGGTCTCTGTGGGAGCCACGGTCTCAAGTTGTGGTGGGGCAGGTCTAGGTTGGAGATTAGGAAAAACGATTTCCCGAGGCGGGTGGGGAAGCGCTGGGCTGGGTTCCCTAGGGAGGAGGTGGGCTCTCCATCCCTACAGGTGTGTCAGTCCCCGCTGGACCGAGCCCTGGCTGGGATGATGGACTCGGGGCTGGTCCTGTTTTGGGCAGGGGGCTGGACCCGATGGCTCCTGGGATTGTTGGGGGGCGACTTGCAAACTTTGCACATGGGAGAAAGAAGCAGGAAAGGCCCCATTAAGCTACGACGTGGGTCCCGGCGGGCTCCAGCTACAAATTGGAGGGGGGGGGGGGGGGAGGGGGGCAC